AGGGAAAGGCCGGGTCCAGAATGATGATATACGAGACAGAGTTGGGGGTAGGACCAATTGACGAGAAGCTTGTCCAACATAGTCTGAGATGGTTTGGACATATTGAACGCAGGACTCCAGAAGTTCAGTACATAGCGGATGACTAAAGCGTGCTGATAATGTAAAGAGAGGTCGGGGTAGACCAAACTTAACATGAAAGAGAGGTCGGGGTAGACTAAAGCGTGCTGATAGCGAACTGAAAGACTGAAGTGTCACCAAAGAACTAGCCATAGACATGGGTGCGTGGAAACTTGTTCATGTGGCAAAACCATGAGTTAGTTGCGAGATCATATGTGTTTCAGCTCTAACTTATCTCAACTTGTTTGGTACTAAAGGCTTTGTAGTTGTTGTTTATTATAGTTGTCAACAATTTTGGAATTTCAAGTTGTGTATGAAAATTTTACAAACTTGAACACCTTTTCCAAAATTGTTAACAAATTCCGAACAATTGATGAAAATTTTGAGCAAAAATTGCAAACCTATATTGTTCTACATTTATAATTTTTTTAAACGCAAACATTTCTTAAATTTGTGACTTTTTTCGAAAATGGGAACATTTTATGAAATTCCAAAATATGTTTTAAAATTGTAAACAATATTTGAACAGGTTCAAAAAGAATAATAAAGTTTTAAAAGGAGACAAATTAATTAACAAAAAAGAGAAGAACAACATAAAACATAGAAAAAATGCTTAGGCCTTGGTCCAACTAGCTAGGTGACTAGGGATGGGCATACAACTCTGATCAACCGAATGTCGAACCGAAGCCGAAACCGAAAAGGGTGATTTTTTTTGGTTTTTATTGTTAGTGCAGTTAAAACCGATTTTTGTTTCAATAACCATATTCAAATCAGGTTTCGTATTGATAAACAGTATAACCGGAAGAAAACCAAAGTTCAGGCATCCAGTATGAGGCTCTCTCACACGTGTCGCGCAACACCGATGGCTCAGTCGCGCAGGGGTGTCCGGCCACGTACGATACGAACGGCCCGATGCATGCTTTGTTCCCCACGTGGGAGCTAAGCCATCCCTTTTTTTTGAGCGGTAAATCTTAAACCATAAACCCTAATTGCAAGGCTTCGCCGTCCATCTAATTTATTGCCAGCCTTCGTCGTCCAACTAATGCAAGGCCCAAAGACAACTACTAGTACTTTTGTGTGGCTAGCGAAGGGGCAACCATTTTATTTTGTTTAGTACCACATCGCTTAGGTATGCCAAGGGTAATCTTCTTTGGTTCATAGGATATGAATTTTGTAAAAATAGGAAAATCATAGGAAGTGAGATGACATGCATGTCAATTCCTATAGAGAAATAGATGTCATTTGGTGCATAGGATAGGATTTTTTCCATTGAGTCTAGGCTAATGTTTTTTTTCCTCCAAAACATGAAGGATTGATTCCTATCCTATATAGGAATAGAAATCCATTTCTACAAACCAAATGGCTTCAAAGAAATTTTTCCTTTGCAAATCCTATCCTATAGAATTCCTACAAAAATCTTACAAACCAAAGGAGGTATAAGCGGATGACTCATTGGGGAAGTGCTCACAGCTGCGTCGTAGCTTGTATGTATACGCCACCAAAATGTTTGCACACTCCTCATATCTCTTTAAAATTCTTCAAAATATTTTTCATGCTTAAAAAATGTTCCTGCTTTTAAAAAATGTTGTTCAGAATTTTCAAAAAATGTTCATGCTTGTAAAGAAAATGAACTTTTCAAGATGTGTTCAAGTTGTTCAAACAATTGTTGGATTTTCAAGCATTATTTGATTTGTAAAAAATTATTCAGAATTTCCAACAAATGTTCGAAAAATTGAAAAGGTGTCTGGATTCTACGTTGGTGTTAGTTTTTAAGTTTCCACTCTCCTCATTTGTCACAAACACTAGTCAGCTCAACTGGTGAGTCACTCACTCTTACGTACGACGTATAGGTACTGGCGGGTAGGCGATATACTTTTAGAAAAGACCATGATTAGAAAGGGGTATGAAGAGATATCCTCTGTTGGTGTGTTTTGGGGGAGTTGTGCCAAAGCAAAAGTGAATAATATCCTCCTAGGTTCGTAGTATGTACGCGATGCCATAGAATCGTCTCCATAGGCATACTCTTGGTGTCTGGACAGAGATTTACATCCTAAATTAAGTGTAATCAACCAAAAAGTTAATATAAACACATACATTTGTTCATCCTTGATCGAACAAACGTTAGTACATGATAAATAAACCACAGGGAGATGGAATGTTTTGACAATGTCGAATAAAGCCTACACACCAACCTTTGAGCCGTACTTTCCCCACAATGCACTTTATTAGTAACATATAATATGAGCAATAATAAGCACATATACTCATGGATCGCACCGTATCACTTCTTCTTCTTTATGTGCTTGGCGTTTCTGTGATAATTAACCAGAACATCGGCAGATTCTATGCACCTACATACCTAATTATTTGCCAAGCATGAGGTACTGTAAGTAGGAAATTAAGGTACACATCAGTCAGCTCTCTGAAGACTGAAATGGACACTTGTCGCCCAATCAGATCCTAACTTTACGCCCATATTTCCACCTGGGCAGGAACATTTGGAATCCATATTGGTTCCTTGTGCAGCTAACCATGGTGTGATATGTCCACTGGTTATCTAGCCAGTGACACCTACATTGATTAAGTAATTAACTAGTAATTAATTACGGCAATGCCCTGCAAATGATGATGAAGAATGCTGCTTAATTACCATCAGCAGCACGGCCATGGAGATTGGGGAGAGACCATCATGCACCTGGCCATGTTCTAATTTCAATTGTGCGCACACGATCGAGCATCTTCACCTTTAGGGGTCCACCGTCGTCATTGGATCGGAGAATTCAGAGCACAATTCTAGACTTTACTTCCCTTTGTTTCTTCTTTTGAAAAAGAGAATAACTAGGAGAAAAATGAGATCCACATCAATGCCATGACATGCTTTCCTCCTGAGAAAGAAAATCTGCTGCCTTTCCTTTTCTTTTGAAATTTGGAGGCCCCTCACTCCACTTCCATGGATCGATCGACGCACTCGAGGTAGCTAGTCGAGTGTTTTCGAGTCAAAGCTCTCACCGACGAATCATGAGTGACTATATCTATTTTGTTTGTAGTCTATTGCTCCAAGTTGCGCCTTTTCTGTTTATTTAATTTTACCTACAAAGGTAGAACATCAACTATATATATATATCTACTCACAACTTGAGCAAGGTAGCTTAGTGGGATGAGGAGAAATTAAGTAGAAGCAATTGATTGCTGGTACATTCTCCTATGATCTGCACCGCGCTATTCTGCATAAGAAGATGCGTTAAGTTTAAAGCAACAAATGCGTGTCTATAACTCTACATACACAAGCAACCAGAAAATAAACAAGTAAACAAATTTTGTTGCTATCTGTTCCAATGAAATCTTGGCAAAGATTGGCTTTCAAATACATAACCAATCATGCATCTAAGCACACCCATCTTCATAGCCCTACAGAATTATTTATTTTCTGTTGTTGGAAAAAAGCTACAGAATCATACTACATGTATGTACCATATGTTTTTTCTTGTACTAGATGGTAGGTGGGTCCATGGATTGAGTGTCTATCTGCTTTTGGAGTAGACTACTACAGGAGATGATGAGATTAGAGCAGCAGCTACTACTACTAACCACTACTACTATTATATATCTGAATTAAAGCTTCAGGTAACCACCGGCGCTCTGCTCCTTTCAGCATGACCCCCCCTGTGACATGATTAAAGCAGCTGTTCTTCATTTTTCTGCAGCTGCACAAAGTATTTTCTTTTATCCTTCAGAAAAAAAGATCACTTTTGTCTTTCAAATGTCTGCCTGAACGGGCTTTTTCAAGGAAGATAAGATGAGTGTTTCGCAGCTCATTAACAATGACATGGCATCGAAAAGGGAAATGCTCATGTTGATCCCTTAAGGCACAGGGTGCTTTCAGAGATGCAGCACTCCATGTGACATGATTCTCTGATCAATGTCCAGGAGCTTTCATCCCGCACACCCAGCCCCCTGTGCGTGCAAGGTGGATGCAGACATGTGCAAAACGAATGAAATTTAGAGCGATTCAGCGGATCGAAAGGTGTGATTAGGACCTGACAGAGCATATAAGTCAGCTTTAGATCTCTCTTTCTCTTGTAGTATAAAAGAGAGAAATATATGTATTTGAGTGGGAACAATTTCAGAAATTCATGAATGAAGAACCTATGAATGATAATAACAATACAGCATGAGGACAAGCAGCTAGGTGTTGGAACACCCAAATGACCAGCTGTGGGGAGCTGGCTGCAGGTACTGTAGATAAACAAAAGGGGTTGAGATCTTCCACTGTATGAACACAGGGATACCTGGTGTAGAATACAGAGAGGTGCATGCATCAGGTATGCATAGTTCTTCCAACTGAACTGCCACATACACACAGATAGATTAATCTAGTGCAAGCAGGCTCCTGCAAGTGTCTCTGTGATTCAGGAGCAGCTAGCTTAGTTAGCTAGCTAGGGAAGCATGTGCTGCATGGATGGATGGAATCCTCCATCATGATTGACTCAACCCCCATGTGTCCCCCAGTTCTACATCTCAAACCTCACCTCCTGTGGTCACAGCCACCACATGCACCCTCACTATTTAACAATTAGCAGCAGCAACTTTTTGCTGCTGATGAGATGAGATGAGATGAGATGGAAAGGGTGAGTGCTTGAGTAGATTGGTAGATTATATATGTAACAACTTGTTGAATGTTGAGGAGAGGAGCAGCAAATCTACATCCTTGGATTTACTGTTGCCTCCATTGCCCCCCATGCAGTGGACAATGGGCTCACAGATGCATCACCATCATCATCTTGCTCACTTCAACTGGTGTTGTGTAGGGTTGCTGTCTGTGGTGATGGAGGGGCTTCATCAGACACAGATGCATGTATGTTGGCTCACCATCATCTCTCATCTCATCTTTTCTCAATCACGGAAAGAAAATGGCAAAAACACTTCTCCCTCTGATCCAAAATAAGTGTCGCAGTTTTGAACTAGTTTTGAAGTGAGGTTAGTTTAAAACCGCGGCACATTTTATGGATCGAAGGTAGTACGTACTTAATTATCATAGTGTATATGAGAATATTTGATTTCTATGTACGATTACATGCTAATTAACCACTCACATCAAGATGAAGATGAAGATGAACAAGAGATCCCATCCGGCCCCAATTACCACAAAAATCCTTTAACTAGGGGGAGGGGTGGGCGGACAAAATAAGAGGAACGATTAAACACACGGATGTCTGATCAGGGCCGTTGGTTTCTGATCGGACGGCCTAGGCGCACGAGCTTACTGTTCCATTGCCGCTGCCGTCGACGGCGTGGTGGGAGTGGCTTCCTCCTCCTCGGCAGCTGTCGGCGCCGTCGAAGTCGCTGGGGCGGCCGCCGCGCTCCACGAACTCGCGGTGGACGGCGAAGAGCGCGCGGCAGCTCATCTCCTTCTCGAACCGCCACACGTAGTTCAGCCCCACGAGCAGCTCCGCCACGGCCGCCTCCACCTTGTCCCGGTCCGCGAACTGCAGCGTCTGCAGCAGGAACGTGTTGCCGCCGCCGCCGCCGCCGTGGCGAGGGGGGAGCCGGGCTATGTCCGTCGTCGACGACGTCGACGTCGTCTTCCGCTGCTCGAAGCTGCGCTCCGCCTGCCACCGCACCGTGGCGTGCGCCATGGGCGCCAGCCACTCCAGGATGCCGCCCAGCGCCGCGCGCCACTCGCCGGCGAGCCCCGCGTCCGCCTCGGCCACCGCGCCGCGCAGCCGCGCCCGGAGCTGCGCGCGCACGCTCGCCGTCAGCATGCCGTACAGCTCGTCCCGCTCGTCCGGCCCCACCATGCGCTGCGGCGACCGCGCCATCCGCTCGATCGAGATCACCAGCCCTGCGTAACGCGGCGCCAGGGCCGCCGCGCCCAGCGTCCCCGCCGGCGGCACCAGCGTCGCCGTGCTGTACTCGAAGAAGCCGCGCCGTCTGCTGCCCTTCGCGCTCTGGACGACGGCGGCCACGTCGAACGGCACCGCCTCCATCGACATGGACTTGCGCGACGGCGGCGGCGGGGACTGCGCGTCGGCCGACGGGTGGACGGCCGAGGAGAGCGTGAGGCTCCGGTAGAGCGGCGCGTGCCGCTGGTCCTGGCCGCCGGCGCCGAAGACGAGCTTGATGCGCGCGAGGATGGTGAAGGCCGCGCGCGCCAGCGACGAGACGACGGCGTCGAAGGTGCACCCCCACAGGGACGTCTGCTTGAGGTTCTTCACGTCCTGCTTCTTGGAGAAGATGAGCTGCTGCTGCTCCGACGCCACCGAGATCTTGCTCGCCGACATGCTGCGCCGATGGCACCCTCCGCCGCCGCTTGCAGCAGCGTCGGCCCGCAGGAACTTCCGGAGGCCGTGCTCAGCCTCTGCGAGCTCCTCCATGGCCCTGCGGAGCGCGGCGGTGGTGGCCACCTGCTTCTCCAACTTCCTCGCGCGCGCGTCCATCTCCTTCCACGTGGGCGCGGCCCAGCGGTGGCGGTCGCGGCCGGTGTCGGCGAACTCCAGCAGCGCGTCCCTGAACTCACGCAAGCAGGGGTCGGCGCAGCGCTCCGCCAGGGCAGCGACGGCATCGGCAGCTCCCCGCAGCGCGTCGACGAGCTCGGCGCGCGCGAGGCCGAGCAGGAAGGCGTCGTCGTCGGAGACGACCTTGCGGACGCCGTCGAGGTGGACGACCTCGTGGCGGAGGCGCGCCACGGCCGGGTCACCGACGGCGCGCCACACGTGGAGCAGCCTGGACACGAGGCTGGCCACCTCGAAGGCGAGGATACCAACGTTGCCTTTCTTGCCACCGGCACCCGCCGGCGGCGCACCCGACGACGAGGGCTTCGACGAGATGGCCGACCGGACCTTGGCCAGCCATGACTCGCGCGCCATGGGCATGGGTGGATCGATCTGTCTGTCAATGGCACGCACCAGCAAGAAGGGAGCAAGAGCTAGCCACTTGCCCTCGTGTGTGTATATATAAGAGGATAGTTGTAGTCCAAAGGAATGGAAAAGGTCTCAAGGTCAAAATGTTTCAAGTGCTTCCTATCCTAGTACAACAACACTATTAGGGATGCAAGCACAAAAAAAGTCTCTACAAATTTGAAATAATCACAAGATGATCAAAGTGTCGATGAAACAAAAACACGCGGTTGAATTTTGGTTTGAAATGCTTTGAATGTTGTGGAAAGTAGAGTGTGAATCGCGCAGGTGTTAAAAGGTTTATATATTCGGTAATGCCATAAATATCCATTGATATTATTTTCATAATACTTTGGAATAAAAGATTTTTTAGAAATATTAATAATATTACAAGGAAAAAAAGAAAGAATGATTTGTAAGCGCGTGGTAGGAACCTGATTTGGAATGTTTGGTGCGTTATAGTAAGATCTAGAGCGCGAAATTGCGACGTGTTAAAGGTGAGTGGTGATGGTGATATGGGAATGGGAACACATCGATTTGACGATGAGTTGTAGGATGGTGGAGGCATGGAGTGTCAACCTCTGCTCGTGAGGACAATGACATGCCTTGTGTCGTCTAGATCATACCACCGGATCAAAAAAATCAATCTTACAAAGCAAATCTCAGGGCTAATCATTGTTTTCAATAATAAATAATGTATGGTTGTGTGCATCAACCGATCGATGCAGAGGCGTAGGTGATCATCCTTTACGAAACAAAAACATATTACGAAATCTGCGAAAAATAGCTGCACAAATCCAAAGAGTGAAATTTTCGGTATTATTTTGAACGATAGGGATGATTTATCGCATATGTTCTCTATCATGTCGACGAGGAGGGTGGAGGGTCGCAACAGAGGAGAAGAGGGGGCGTGACGTCGGCTGAATCTTCGTCCCGACACGTATGACCAATTTTGGACAAGGAAAGGGGGTTGGAGAATTAAGTAGGGTTGGGGGTTTGCAAGAGAAGAAAGAGAGGTGTGGTCACACTCACACTAGCTGGTGGATCATATTCTCCTGGTGCATGAGAGAGGGAGGGGTAAACCACAAGCTAGACAAGTGAAGGTGGTGGGAGTGGTGCTGCATCCCCATCCATCCATCAATCCATCCATCCATCTGCATCATCTCTTTTGACTTGACCATATTGGCTCATAGCTAATCTAGCTAAGCTACCTAGATCCACCTGCTTGCTTCTTGCACATTGTGTGGAAGGAGCAGATCTCACCACTGCTTAAGTGTAAAGCTAGATAGATAGTGTGTGTGTGTGAGTCCACTTAGCTGAAACTGTTGGGAGACATGATTTTTCTGTTCAGTCGCCTTCACACACACTCTGATTAACATTCAACACCTGGCCTGTGGGTGAGGTTGCAGTGCCTGGCTAAGAAGAGATCTGAGGTGTGTGATTTGAAGTTTCATGGAGAATTCTCTAGCCCAGATTAGCATATAAATAAATTAGTAGTAATAATTAAGGTACTAGTACTAGTGACTAGTGTTAGGAAAGTTAGCCAGGAGAGGAGGCAATCATGCTAGATGGATAGTAGATGGAGTACAGCCTTGAGAATGGCTGCATCTGCATCTGCACCCACCGTTGCCGTATCATCACATTCGGTCCACGCCATGAAAAGATGCTGCTACTAGCTTTTCTGTTTGTCAACCATGCATGCATGAATCATATTGGCCATACCCCCAAAAAGAAGTAGAAAAAACATGGCTACTTTTAGTCAGACTCTGAAGTCTACCCTAAAAAATATACTCTTTTGAAGTCTACTTTTTACCCTCAACCCCAAGATAACTGCAGATGAAACCCCTTCAGTGACATGGCATCCTAGTTAGCACTTGCTCTGGCTCTGCCACCTGGATATTAAAAAATAAATATATATTGAGCACTCTTTTTGTCTCATGGCTGGTCGAAAGCTGGTTGATGGAAGCTAGCCACCAAGGGCAACTCCAACCCCTAAACATGCGGACCGGGGTGTTTGGACATTTTTTTGTCATCCAACGACATGCCTCAAACATCTCCGGATGCGTCCGGGCGTCTAAAATCCTATAAACCGGCGGAAAAGCTAGGGAAGGTTTGCAGGCATCCGGACTTTCTCCACGTAGATGTGTGACACCCCTGACCCAACCAAAACTGAGGTAGAGCCCACACATTTGGACCATTCCACGTTGTTTCCGTGTGAACATCCACCCTTTCCCACCCTCTTCGCTTCGGTCGCTGCCACCCTCCACCCCAAATCCCGTCCTTTTCTCGTCCACCGCCTCGATGGGGTCACATGCCCCCATGGAGATGGTCGTCGTGTCGCCAAAGCCGGAGATGGAGGACCCAAAGGTGGTAGCCTTCTGCAAGGCCAATTCGGCGGCACACACCGAGTGCCACAAACAGAGGAGCGGTGAGGTAGCAGTTGTGGCAGGTGGTAAACCGCCACCTTGTCCGGCAAAGAAGGTGGCCGGGTGGCGGGCGGCACCTGTGCAGTCACCGCCCTAGCCGGAGCAGCTGCATGGGGCGTACTACTACGCCGCCATGTAGCTCGGTGCGAAGCAGAATTCTCCGGCCTCCTTTATGTTCGCTGCGCCGCACGTGCCGTATATGGTCGGCCTCAATGGGGGCTACCACTTCATTGAGCCGTCGTCGCCGCAACTTGTCCGATCACGGACGCTGAGCGTGAATTGAATGCCCAGCCTCTCTTTGTCAGAATATCTCATCTGGGCATGATGCCAACAAGCAACCAGGAGATGTTGGACATCATCCAGGATGGAAGCATTTTCAAGGATGGACAAGTGGATGACTCCCAGCTAGAGCAGGCACAACAAAATATCCAGCAGACATACACCCAACTTTTTGGTTCAATGAGGACAAGTACTTCGATCCCAATCGCAATGACGTGATCCGTCTTCGTGCTTTGAAGTCGCTCACCCATTGATGATACACCATGCAAGAGGCCATCAACATGAATTGCAGCTTCTACAAACAAATCCAAAATTGATGGCCAAGTGGAGCGCAAATCACCGAGCTTGTAAGTGTTTTGTTACTCTATGTGTTGGTCATTTGGCCGAATATGCAGCTTGTGTTGGATTTGGCCGAAAATATGCTCTATGTGTTGGTCATTTGGCCAGATATGTAGCTTGTGTTGGATTTGGCCGAATATGCTCTATGTGTTGGTCATTTGGTTGGATATGCAACTTTTTTATCATGTCTTTTTTATGATGCCAGCATGTGCATGCGCATTGTACTTCAAGGTGGAGGGCAAGCAATTCTGCTTCATGCATTTGTCGGGCTAAGTTGAATGCGCAACCCAAGTGGATCCACTTTGTTATGAATTCTGTCAAGGCCGCCACCATCGCCAATGAAGATGAATATGGTGATCCAACCACCTCAACAAAAAGAGGGCTTGAGCCGTCCAAAAAGTTCAAAAGGCATTGGGGAGAAAGCGTGAGGAGAAGGAGAAACGAGAACGAGCAGCCGTCAAGATAACAGAGAGGTTCGAGGATATCAAGACGAAGAAGGGGGAGGCATGTGTCAAGCGCCATGACGTGAAGGAGGAAAAGGCCAAGAGGTTTGACAAGTTCATGGCATTGACAAAGAAGAAGATCAAGCTCAAAGATAAGAGGGTTGAGCTCGCGGCCAACTCGGACGATGCCAAGATGTTGATCTTGAAGATGGAGGATGTGAAACCCGATGCAGCGAAGCTCGTGCAAGCCTACCGTGCTAGGATGTTCAAGCATGTCGTGGCCGATTTGGAGGAGGCAGCCACTGCGGAGCAGTCAGCCGCAGAGTGAAGAATTTGGCATGGACAGTCGTACTATGAGGCACAAAAATGATTTTTTTTTTTGCACGGAGAGCCGGGCTGGCAAGTTTTGGAGTCGGCAGCATGTTGAACATCTGCTTCTGAGGCAGACATTTGGTGCACGCGGTTGGATGACTGGCTCTGCTATCCTTGTCCGTGGACACGCCGTGGACGTTTGGTGTGTTGGATTTGGTGATCCATGTCGTGTTGGAGTTGCCCTGAGTGTCGACCATGTGTTAGGGAAGATGTTAGGGAAGATGCACAATAAGATAGTAGTGTTAGGAAAGCAGTAGGAAGACTACATAGCTAGCTAGGTAGGAGAGAGATGGATAGATTGAGTACAGGCTTGAGGTGAGCTGCTGCACCCACCGTTGCCATATCATCACATTCGGTCCACGCCATGTAATAAAGATGCTTTCTATTTGTCAACCATGCTTGCACGAATCATATTGGTCTGGTCAATGGTCATACCCCAAAAAGAAGCACAAAAATATTACTCTTCTCAAGTCTACTTTTCACCCTCCTCAACCCCAAGACAACTGCAGATGAAGCCCCTTCAGTGACATGGCATCCTAGCTGGCACTTGCTCTGGTTCTGCCACCTGAAGTGACATGGCCACTTAGTTGGCACTTGATCTGGTTTTGCCACTTGTATATCGAAAAATAAATATATATTGAGCACTCTTTTTGTCTCAGGAGTCCTGCGTGATCGACGAAAGCTAGCCACCAAGTGTCGGACGAGTGCACTAAGTCAATTAAGTAGTAGTGGTAGTAGCACACTAGGCAGTCAAAAAAGAAAAAAAAGGAGTACACTAGATCTTGTTGGGTTTGACCCCTCAATGGCGCCCATCCATGCATGGTTGCTCCTTTTGACCCCATTCCATCGTTGCATAGTGAGTGCGCCTGGCTGTTCCTCCTGCCTTGGCTGGAGATCAAAAGCAGCAGTCATGGGTCATGATACCGATAGCCACCTCACTCAATCCGGCGCAGTATATGCAAATATATCTGCAAAATCAAAATTCAGATATGCTTGTTTTTGCATCACGTATGTGTACCTCAACAATTTGGTTTTCTTTTGTCAAACCAGCCATCATGATGCCATGCTTGACAGTGCAGTGCAATGCCTAGTAAGTTACTTGAGACACTAGGCGCTTAAGTGGCCGTGATTTGTTATTTTATTTTTTGTCTGCAGAGCTGTGCCACCAATCGAATCCAACGGTCAGCGGCAGCGCTGACCAAACGGGATTCGGCAGAAGAGGTTTTGAAACAAGGGGAAAAGCAGAGAGAGATGGAGCAATGTGACATCTCCAGCGCTCCCACTTTGCGTCGACAGCACCCTAGTGCTGCTACTGATTAGGAAGCGCTCTGCGTGGAAAGCATCCATGTACAAACCTCTTTCGATGTCATGATAAAAGTTGTTTGATGCAAACTTTAGTTACCAGATTTCCAGTAGATATTCTGTAGGGGTGACAAATTAAGAGGAATAGTGATATACTGCTATACCAATTGATCAATTCACAGCTATGCTGATTCATATTCAAAGGTGCTTTCTGAAGCCCAGCCCTTCTTTTCCAGTGCCAATCTCAGTGCCTGCCACAGAACAAGAATCGCACATCATACCTAAAATGTACACCAGAACAAATGACAGAAATGATGTGTGTGTGTGTGTGTGTGTGTGTGTGTGCTTGCCTTTACTCTCTTCTTGTTAGCATTAAAGTCGATGAATCCTGACCGAGACGCCGATCGGTACTGAACGATTGATTTGTTGCCAGGAGGGAACCAGAACTCGACGTCATCTACAAACTGCACGGACGGAGGAACATACAGTCATTACTGAATAATAACATGGTAATCTACACTTGCGTGAGCATGTGGATTACAAGAGTAACAAGGTGCTACCCCGAATATAGGGCTCTCGTATTCAACTCGAACATAGTCATCTCCTTTCTCTACCACACGAGGACTGAAGTTGTCTGGCTTTGTCTTGGTCACCTGCCAACAGGTATTACAAATACAACATGCTGATATGACTTTAGCAATTTACCCACCCGCTGCACACTATAAAAACAAGATAGAGATGTTACATACAACTTCAATGAGCTCTTTCATGGCCTCATCTTTGCTTATGGGTTTACCTCTGGGGCCATCCTTGGGATTGTAATTCCTAAAAAAAAGGTCATGTTCAGTACTCCACACTGCAGATGATGAATCTTTCAAACATTTTTACAAATCCGGATATATTAAAGAGCTATCAAAGGAGCACCTGATGATTAGACAGAATATGCGATACAACATTCGAAAATGAAAAATTCATTTGCAAAGCAGACTGTCAGCAGTGCTCAAGTCAGACACTTGTTCACAAAGGGAAAGTGTTGTTCCTCAAAGGTTTGAGTCAACAGATAAATATATAAGTGCAGTACTGCGACGAGGCAAAGTTTAGTTTTAGAAACGAAGAGTAATTCAATTAATTGTGTTAGAAAATGCAGATAACAGTGACTCTTATTTTGTCATACGTACTATTTAGAACTGCAATTCCTGACTTACTGAACTTATCATATATTGTGGTTCATCAAGAACTACCGTACGGAATAAATTGAATCACACATATTACATAATGCATACGCCGGACAAAGGATTAAAGAAGCAGGCCTGTTGTCGAACCAAAATCTTACATTGTGTATATGCACATATGCAGGACAAGCGACACCCAGCAGACTGTGAGAAGTGCTCAAGGCACACACTTGTTATACAAAGGGAAAGTGTTGGTTTTCTTAACGGTTTGAGTCAACAGCTGCATTATTGTTTTTAGAAAATGAAAGATGTCATTTTGTCATATTTGGGACTCTGCAATTTCTTACTCGCTGAATTTATCATATAGTGTGGTTCATCATCAAGAGCTTCCATACATACAGAATAAACCAAACCAAACATTCCACAGCGCGTACGACGCACAAATTAAGGATGGATGAAGCAGGCCTGCCTACTGTCGAACGAAAACTCTATGCTGGGTGTTCAGTTTCAAAACGGAGAACAATTGGAGTTTAACATAAACATAGGGCCCATTGTGTGAAAGAACTAAACACAAATGGTTACCATGGGGGAGCGTAGTGATTGGAGTCGCTTATCCTCTCCGACGTGGACACGCAGTTGTTGGTCGCCGGGCACAGCGCAAGGGATGGGGGCCTCTTCTGCACGCCAAGGTAGCTCGGCTTTGTGCCACTGGCGCAGCAAAGAGAGCAAGAGAAATAAACAAACACACTTGTCAGAAGAACAGAACAAGAAATTCAGTTAACTGTTGACTGCACCCCCTTCTTCAGAGAGAGCTCAGGTTCTGAATTTTACCTGAAGTGGAAGATGGCGGCGAGCGTGGCGAGCTCGCTGCTCCTCAGCACCAGGTCCCTGAATTCGTCCCGGGGTTGAGATACAAGCGGCGACCATCCACCATCAGATGTACGTACTCTAGTCGGAGATGGGGGATGAGGATACATACCTTCGTCCGATTCTTGCGCTGCTCTTGTTGTTAAGGCGTGGGAGCGGGTGATGCCTTGCCGCCGGGAGCGGGGGTTGGTGGGGGGCAGCACCCCAAGCATCCATGGTTTAGAGAAGAATACGAGGTTGGATCGATCAAACCTAAATGTCCGCCCGAGACCACGTAATAATCAAATCAGCACCATCGCTGCCGAAGCACCACCGACCGGACGAAGACACATGCAACTCCCCCTGCTACCATAGAGGGACTCGCCTCACAAACCTTAATCCCCTTTTGATAGTATTCACACACCTATAACCTCAAAGTGGTAATAGATCACCAAAAACTATGAAATGATCCTTACTCTTGTCAACATATCATCGTTGAGAATTGAGGGGTCAAAATAAGTTTCCCTAACTTGCATCTTGTGGGACATACAATGATTACATGTAGAGGCAACATTAGTCCCTTTAATAAAGTTTTGATTGATCATAAAAATACGTTAGGACACAATCGGTACACTTGAATCTTGTCGTTCT